TTTCTTTTCTGGGTTTTGGGCTTTTGGTTGAATGGGGGTTTGTTTCCTTTTCGTCTCTGTCGAATATATTCTTTTTCTTTTTAAGACAAAACTTTAATCGAATTTTTAATGAAATAAGATGGAAATTTCGTAGTTGTTAAGTAGTGATGTGGTTGGACGGTGAGAGTTTCTTTGGACGTACCAACATTACAGCTAAATCAGACGTGTATGGACCTCATTGCATCACTTTTTCTCAAGTGCTCTTTTCTTTTTTATTTTTTTTTGGCAACAAATAGTGCTTTTGTTTTTGAGTAATTAGCTTAGATATTAGTCTTTCCACATATAATTAACTATTTAACACTATATAAAACAAAATATAGTAACTAACATTTAACCCATATAAAATTTTTATTTTATCCTTTTACAATTACCTAGCTTTTTATATTTAAGAAAAAAATAAAACCCTAGTTACTATCTTTTTCTCCTTCACGCTTCAAAAAAAAACTTTCTACCCCAGCCTTCACGTTTCCACCAGCGGCGTTGGTTCTCACCGGCGTTGCCTCTCGTCGGCATCAACTCTTCGATGCGTTCTTCTCCTTTCGAAGACTATGGCTCACCTCTTTCCCCTCTCTCAACCTCAACTTCGAAAATAAAGTTTTTGTCTCCCATCTCCGTTTTAATCTCATTGTAACCAGATCTGAGCCTGGTGGCTTCCTCCATGTCGTTTCCTCTTTTGGAGATCCGAGCAAGGTCGTCACAGATTTGTGCTAGTCCAAGGTAGAGTTTGTTTATGATGTTTTCATGAGATTCACCTCTGTCAAGCAATACGATTCTGACAAAGGCTTGAAGAAATCATCTTCAATCCGGCTAATTAAGGTGTTTCAAAAAATCTATAGGGTTTAATCCTTCGCTTTTCAAGATAACTATGTTTTTGATAATAGTTAACTATGAATAAAAATAGTCAACTACGTTCAGAACGTAGTTAACTATGTTTGTTTAAATAAGTAACTATTACAACATCATGTTCATGTAGTCAACGATGTCATAAATTCAATACAGTAGATAACTATATTCTAAAAATAGTTAACTATATTTGTTTAAATAACTGACTATTATAACAATATTTTCATGTAGTCAACTATGTTTTGAAATCAATAAAATATAAAATTATGATATGAGCAAAGTTAACTATATTTTTAAATTTACAAATAGTATGGTGTAGTTAACTATGTTTAAAGATGTTTCGGAAATAGTTAACTATTACAACGTAATTTATTTTTTTGTCATCTTCTGACCCAATTTTTTTTCGTGCAAAACACACTTCTACTTTTTACAGGATATAATCGCATGAGCGATTTTTCAGGGTTAAATCAAGAGAAGATTTTTAGAGATTTTTTATATATATTTATCTTAATTGTAGTTGTAAGGGTAATTTCGTCATATTTTGTTTCTCTCTACTAGTTTTCTAATTATATTTTTGGATATGTTACTTTCCTAATTATATGTCTCAAAAGGTAGTATTAAGCTAATTAACCTTTTGTTTTTCACTAAAATATTCTTTCCTACCGATCCAACCTTTTATTACTTTATTTCATACACTTGTGATCCAAACATTAAAATTAACGTCTTAGCTTCCTGGGTTCAATAATTTCATTTTCCCCCTATAAAACATTCACTACAAGAAAACAAACAATATTCCGACGGAATTTTCGACGGCCAAAATTTAAGTCGGAATTTTTCGACGGTATCCTGACGGATTTCCGAACAAAATGAATCCGTCGGAAATCCGTCGAATTTTTTTGACGGATTTCCGACGGACACGGAAACCGTCGGTATTCTGTCGGAAATCCGTCGGGACATGACGACGGATTTCCGACGGAAATAAGNTGTCGTAATTTCCCGACGANTTTCCGACGGAATAACGACGGAAATCCGATTTTTCCGATGTCGGCAACGTTTGATTGGTCAGCTCATACCGACGGAACTAATTCCGTCGGAAATTCGTCGGAAATTCGATGTCGGCAAATTTGAGTGGTTACCATTTCGTTAGCGGTGGCCGATGGGATTGGTGGGGTGTTATGTCGGAGGTTTGTGACGGATTTCCGACGGAAATCCGTTCTATATAAGTTCCTACATTTCTTCGTTCCTTCATAACACAATTTTAAAAAGCCACAATCAATAACACAAATAATGTCTTCCAGCTTTCCTAATGAAGACTATACATCAAAAATCGTGGCAAACCACCTAGAAATTCCAAAATACTCGTGGGAAACCGAAACTCAATGCGACGAATTCACTCAAGAGATACTCACTTACTCGTGGGAATTTGATACGTGCTCACCCATCCATATTGAAGATTTTTCATCAACAATAGTGCCGGATAGCAGTGCTTGCCAACCATCCAACACATTTCAAAATTCTCATGGGAAACTCAATCTTAGTGCGACGAATATA